ACATTTTGTTAAACATGGTGTACTGATTTGGGGGGGACATATTATAAGTTTTTAAGAGGTAAACAGCCAAAAATGTTTTAAGGACTATGTATATTCTGTGAAGTTTGGGTTATTAAAGCCAAGAAGGGAAATTCTACTGAGAGATTGATAATGGAGTGTAGAGGGTAGGACTGTTTCCGTGAAAGCACTATTAAATGATAGAGCTTACCCATACAATCTTTACCTTGTCTCTAAAGAACATCGCCTAAAGCATATTGAAGAAGGAAGAGCAGACGAAGCAAGCAGAGGCTGAGAATATTAATGGAAGAATAAGAACGACAGTCTCTGATATCTGATTAGCAATTTTCAATTTACAAAGCACTTCCAAGCACATTATCTCCCGCTGTGTGCAGGGGCCCAGCCTGCGACAGAACCACCACTTCGTACCGCGTGCCGGGGGTCAGAGCCGAGAAGCTGGCGCTGTCCACCTCTGCGCCCACAGTGCTGGCCGCTGCCCGGGCACCAGCCTGGTACAGGGTCACCTGGTAGCCATCCCGGCCGCCAGGAGCATGGACCCAGGAGGCTCGGAGCCAGGTGGGGCCTTCGCTGGTCACATTTACCAGACGGGGGGCGACGGGGGCTGCAGGGAGAGCAAGACACAGGGGTGGGAGAAAGGGGGTACTGGGGCTGAGCCGTGTGGCCCCCCAAATTTTCATCCCAACCCCAGCACCTTAGAGCGTCACTGTCTTTGGAGACGGGGTCTTTAGAGAGGACGCTAAGCTGAAACGGGGTCATCAGCAGGGCCAGTGTCCTCGAGGAAACTCGGACACCGACATGCACACAGCGAAGACCAGGCCACGAGGCCGGGCCGGGGACTCCAGTGTGGCGCATGGGCCTCCCCCTGCCTGGGGTCGGGGAGCCGCTGCGGTCAGCCCAGCTGCCTGCCCACCGATGACAAAGAGCCGAGGGGGTCACGCAGCCCCGTGCTGGTGAGGGCGGCTATGGCAGGGCACTCACCCGTCCAGGCCGAGGCGTTGGCGCTGCGGCTCTGGTCCGGCCCCCGCAGGGTGACCAGCAGCAGCCGGAACTCGGTGCCCGGGGGCAGCGAGGCCCAGGAGAAGTTCCGAGCTTCGGGGGCCAGGGTGCCCGTGCTTTCCAGGCTCAGCGGCCTCAGGCGGTACAGCCGCAGCTGGAAGCCATCTCTGCCCCCCGGCGGGGGCGCCCAGGAGGCCCTCAGGGCGGGAGACTGGGCCACGAGGCTCAGGCTCAAGTCGGAGGGAGGAGCAGGGACTGTAGGTTGGGAAGAAACCGATGGGCATGACCCGCCCACTGCCCGAGCTCCCGCCTCCGCCCTGCAGCCTCCCAGGGCACTGGACGGCCCTCACGGGGCAGGGCGACCGGGGGTCCAGCCTGCCGCTAAGCCTCCTCCCCAGCCCCTCGGCTCCTTGAGCTCGCGACGCCCCATCTTAGCGCCCGGGCACCGGGGCTAAGGGCCCCTCTGCCCCTGACTCGACCACGTGGTGCTCCGCCCTCCCCTCCTCCAGGAGCCCTTCCCTGGTGCCCTGAGCAGGTGCCCTTCTGCACATCCCAAAAGGTTAGGCCGAACCCCGTAAAAGTCCTGATGTTCGGTGAGTTCACCCCACGAGAACAGTGCACATGGCTCGCCGAGCACTCACGCGTCCACTCCATGGCCCTGGGCCCGGCCGCCTGGTGCGGGCCGGCAGCGGCGCTGAGCATCAGCTCGTACGGCGTGCCCGGGGACAGGTGACGGAAGGTGTGGCTGGAGACCCCCCGTCGGACAGCTGCAGTGAGGTTGGCGCCACCCAGAAGGTCCCTGAGCATGAGATGGAGCCAGGCGGCCCGCTCCGACCCGTTCCAGGAGGCCTGCAGGGCGCTGGGGCCCAGGGCACGCAGCACCAGCTGACCCGGCGGCCCGGGGTCTGCGGGGAGGGGGTGGCGCAGAGTGCAAGGCCAGGCTGGAGAAGGGCCCTGGAGCGGGACCCTGGCCCCAGCCGGCCGCAGGGACAGAAGCCCAGCCACATTGGGACACGGTGGCCTGGAAGTTTGGACCACCCCAGCACCCCACACTGGCTGCCCTCTGGGGCCTTGTGAAGCACCTGCCTCACCTGTCCACTGGTGGACGCTGGTCTTCGCCTGGAGGTGGCCAGCCCAGGTGGCAACTTCCAAAACATACTCGCTGCCTGCTAGGAGGCCGCTGAAGTTGTAGGACAGGGCGTCTGGGGGCACGGAGATGTTGTGCGCCAGCGTCTGCGACTCCAGGTGGTACAGGAGGAGGCGGTGGCCGTCCTGCTGCCCGGGGGCGGCACCCCACGAGGCCTGCAGGCCGGAGGGGTGGCCGGGGCTCCGGAGCTGCAGGTCACGGACGGTCGACGGGGCTGCACCAGAGGCAGAGAGACGCCAGGCTCAGGGCTGAGAGGCCAGCGCTTCCGACGGCCCTCAGCAGCCACCACACAGTCACGGCGCCCGGAGAGGCTGTGTCCTTGGCTGCCCGCCCTGCCAGCCCCCGGGGCGTGCTGCCCAGCACCGCCCCAGCCCGCCGGCCTCGCACCGGCGTGGGCAGTGAGGACGACCGTGGCGTTCTGCCCACAGGGCCGCAGGGCTGTCACTTCCAGGCGGTGGGCACTCCCGGGCTCCAGGCCTTGGAACTCGAAGCTGGACGCATTGGTGAGGGCCTGCAGCTGCGGCCCTTCGGGGGAGCCCAGGGGGCCGAGCCGCGTGAGGCGGACATGGCTGGATCGGCCCAGCCCCGGGGCTGTCCAGCCCAGCGACAGACTCCCAGGCTTCCCCTGGCCACTAATGTGCACGGTCAGAGGTGGTCCTGGGGGAGCGGGGAGCATGTCAGAGTCTCAGCACCCCTTCTGCCAGAGGCAGGAGGGAGGCATGGGCCAGAGCCGAGGGGAGTCTGGTCAGGGGAAGCAGCCTGCACCCTCTCTTGCCCTCCAAGGACACCCACCTCCACTGGCTCCGTCTGGGCGCCCTGCTCCGCAGTCCTCCTGTGGAGAGAGGGGAGGGGAGGGGGGATGGGCAGAGGCCTCTGAGGGGCACCCAGGGAGAGAGGCCGGCCTCTGTCTGACGGAAAGACTAGGGGGCATCAGGCACACGCCAGGCAGCCAGGCCCACTGGGCTTCGGCAAGTGCGGAGCGGTGGCTGGTTCGCCCAGCGCAGACCAACTGGGGGACGCAGAAGCGGGGGCCCTGGAGAGCAGGCACCACACCACCTGCGGGCCCAGCGCCCACCTCACCTTGGCCAGGAAGGCCCGGAGCCAGAGCAGGGCAGCGCACAGGACTGGGGGCCTCATCGCCGCGGTGTCTGCAAAGGCCTGTCGGGAGGCGGCGGGGGTGAACCAGACCCCAGAGGCAGCGGGCAAGGGCGGGACAGCTGCCACCAAGAGCCAGGGCTGCCTCTGAGCCCCAGACCCTGCCGCCCACCCCAGCAGCCTCAGTCTGCGCGGGGAGAGCCAAGGCGACTGGCCCAGGGCCCGGGCCGGCAGGCTCGCCTCGCGGCCTCCCCACCCCCCCCCTCCGGCGCTCAGCTTCGCAGCGGGGGAGCCGTCCAGTGCTTCTGCGGAGGAGCTGGCGGAGAGATGGCCTCGCAGGCCCCGCTGGCTCCTATCCCCCCACCCCCGGCCCAGCCCGGAAGGGTCTGTCCCCCAGGGGGGCACACAGGGCTGTCAGGGTGCACCCCCTTCTGTGTGCTGCCTGGACGGCCAGCTGAGCGTGCACCCAGGTGGCCCTGTGCACAGAAACATGTAGTTGCAGAAGGGCCTGGGGACCCTGGTGGCCCTCACTGCCCAGCTGACGACACCGCTGTCCCCAGCATGAAGAGAGCAGCTGGGCCTGAACGCGGGACCCCCCACCATCAAGCCGACGTGCAAATCCTGCTCCCAACCCCCCGATGCCTGAGACGGTGGCTGCGTCCCCCCCATCAGCCGTGCCCACCCCTCGCCTGCTCCCCAACCCCACCCCCCGGCTGCAGGCAGTGAGGCTGGGGCAGCCCCCCACCCCCGAGCATGGAAGTCACTGACCTCGAGGTTTCGTTCACCCCAGCCTAGAGCCAGCTGCTCGCCTCGAAGTGCCCCTCCATGTGACACGGGATGGCTGAAACCGGGTCAGGGGCGGGGGCCAGGGGATGGGACAGAAGGAAATGGCTCTGGGCTAGGAAAGCTCTGACCAAAGCTGACTCGGGAGGTGGGCAGGGGACTGCAGTCAGCCAGCAGGTACAAACGCTGGACACCAGACAGCATCTGTGGGAGTCGGGCTGCAGGGACCGGCTCGGCCTGGCTCCCCACTCAGCCGGAGCCACCCCCGCACCCCCCGCTGCCTGCCCTCCCTGCCCAAACCTCAGACCCGCCCACCAGCCCTGGGCCAGGGCCTGGAAACCAAGCCCTGCAGACTCATCAGGTTTTCCAGGCCACGTGCGTGCGTGTGCGCGCGTGTGTTTGCACATGCACACGTGTGCCCTTTCGAAGGGGGTAGCAAAGCGCCTGCCCCTGTCTGCCCCCAGCCCCCACCTAGTGGCACCTGCAGCAGAGTCTCCGCAGCCCAGCGGCCTACTGGGGCGGCATGGGCTCCATAGCGAGTCCTACGGGGCGCGTGGCCACGGAAAGCACACCCACCAGCCCCCCGCCAGCCTGGGGCAGCTGGGGACGCGAGGGGCTCCAGAGAGGGGGCAGAGAGGGTCTGATAGGTAGGACCCACCCTCCCCAGCCTGAGCCCCTCTGTTCAGCAACAACGTCCCCCCCCCCAGCGCCCTCCCACAGACAAACCTCCCAAGGGGACCCTTTAATCCTCCCGAGCGCCTTACAGCTCCCGCCTGGAGAGAGCCAACCAGGAGGCCGAGGAGGGTGGGGACGGTCAGCGTCCTGGCTCCCAGTGTGAGCCAGTCCAGGCTCTCCCGCTGTCTTCTGGTCACCCCCCTCTCCCGGCTGAAGCCTGGCCTTGGGCAGCCCCCACGCTGCGGGGGACAGTCGCCGGGCAGGAGAGGGGCGGGATAACTCGGAAGGCCAGGATTCCCACTCTCCCTCCCACGCCCGGGAGGGTTGGAGGGAGGGGTGGCCTCGGTCCCTCTGCAGGCCCGGGGAGGGCAGCAGGGGCTGGGGCAGCACCGGGACGGCTGTGCCGTGTGGGTGCCGGCAGCTGAGCGTGTGCGGGCCGCACACTGCACGCGTGCATGCTGAGCCGCGAGGGTGCACGAGGGCGGATGCGCCCGCCCCGGGCATCACGGGGGAGGAGCCAGGAGGGCCCTGGAGGACAGGGAAGGGCCGAGGACCAGTGGTCCCTCTCCTGGCTCTGGCCTGTGGGGAGGGGGAGGGCCTGCTTCCTGTCCCATGGCCTTGCAGGGCTGAGTTCCAACAGCCGGGATGAGGTGCCGGGGAAGTCCCCTCCACCAGCGGGCATCCACGGCGTCAGGGAAACTGAGTCAGTGGGGGACAGGCATCCGATGGCCCACAGGGAGGCCGGGCCCAGGACGTGCCCAGGAGCCCCTTCCCCCCCCGCTCGCAGACCTGCTCCCACACCTCCTAACCCCTAACCCTAACCCCTAACCAACCGTAGTGGCCCCGACTCACACCACCTCCCCCAGGCCCAGCCTCTGTGCGTGTCTCCCCACACCCTGCGGACAAGCTGGGGCCACAGCAGTGTTGGGGCAGAAGCTGGCCCAGGCTGGCTCGAGACTCGGCGTGAGTGGGAGAACAGGGTCTGTGGAGGGGGTGGCACCGGAAGTTCTGCCACTCGGCCACTGGCACAGTCCCCAGGACACCCCTTTGGAACGGCACAGGCTGGCAGCCTGACTTGGGGGCACAGCAGCCTGGTCTGCTCCCCAGATGCCGCCGGGGGCCGGGGCCGAGAATGCTGCTGTGCTGTGCCTGGTGCCTGAGACACGGGGACCAGAGTGTGGGGCTTGCAGCCCTGGAGCTGGGGCGGGGGTGACTGCAGGCAGCGGTGTACCCCGGCAGCTGGAGGGGGAGGGGCCGGCAGAGAGAAGGGACCTGGAGGCCCAGACAGACTGCCCGGGCCCCCTCCTCCCTGTGCAGCTCCTAAGCCCGCCGATCTGCACAGGCCTCGCTCACACCCTCAGTGACGCAGGCTGCTGCCACCGCGCTGAAGACACAGCTGTGGGCGGAGGGGGCGGGGGTCACACAGCAGGCGGTGAAGGCGGAGCCCTCACAAGCAGTTCTAGGGCCCAGGAGTGGGGCAGGCTCTGGAGGAGAGGTGCCCCTCCCAGGGACCGCCCACTCCCCCCAGAGCCTGGTGGGGCAGTCCCCTCGGGGGCGCAGACAGGTGTCCCAGGCCCCCGCCCTTGTCTCCTGGCCCAAGGCTGGGCTCCCAGCCCCTTAGCTCGCCGTGGCCAGCTGCGAGGGGTCTGGCTCACAGCTTACCGGCCCGGCCCTGGAGACCGGGGTGGGGGGGTGCTGTCCGCCCGCAGGGAGCACTCTGCACACTTCCTCCTCCCACCCTGTGGTACCCTAGCTTCCTCTTTTCCTCTTCTCGGTGACAATCACCAGCCTGGCCCGGAGTGGGTGGCCCTCTTTCCGACCCCCTCCTGCCTCCTCTTTGATCCCCAGGGTCTGCTAGTGGAGACACCGTCAGGTTTGGGGGCCGCTGAGACAGGGGCCAGCCTTCGGTCACCACCTGCAGGGGTGCAGGGCTCCCAGGCTCCTGCCCACTCCTGTCCTGGGTACCGACTTCCACCCAGCTCTGATCGGCCTTCCCACAGGAAAGCCACTACCCCTGAGCAGGGGCCGGGCCCAGCAGCCATGGAGGGGCTGGGTGAAGACCGTGTCCCCAGTCCCCACCGCCGCTGAGAGCAAAGGCGGGGCTGGGCGTGCCGGGCCCCGCAGGGCCAGCCGCCCCCACGCCCCTCAGTGTGCCCAGCCACAGAGCCATGGCACATCCTTTCTTTGTGGCTTCGCCTGTGAGGGGGGGTCAGAGAAGCAGGAGGAGGGGGGGCGGATCGTGGGTGTCGGGGGCCGGGAAGGAAGGGTGTTTGGGACATCACAAGGTCAAAGGAGACAAGGAGGTGCGCTCGGACCAGCCGAGCCGCTGGCCAGCGAGGAGCCTGCGAGGCGAGACCGGGGTGGGGGCCAGTGGAGTCTCGGGCTTGGGGGCCCCTCCAAAGAAGACACAGGGGTCCCCTGGCCTGGGCCCCAGGCTCCCCATCTGCCGTCTTCTGAGTAGTCCGGGTCT